ATTCGACACAAAACAAGTATGAATAAGAAGTGAAAAACTTAAATACTAAACTCTACATAAAGAACATATAATTTATATTTCTATTTCAAGTTTTCTATAATCTAATAATAGAATGCTGTCTTTAGGCCCTCCTGGTGGCGCAGAGGGTTAAAGCACAGCACTAAGAAGCTAAAGCCACTTCTGCATGAGTTCAATCCCCGCCTGTCCAGGAGGTGACCACATGGTGCTGTAGACCTCTCCTGTCCCACCCGCTGCTCCCCTCAGCAGTGTACTTCGTCACTCAGCCTGTTCTGCTCCCCACTCTGTCTATGGTGAATCCTGTCACCACCCCCTGCATCTCTGTTCTGTACCCTAGTTCTGTATGCACAAATAAATAAACCTTTAAACAAAAAGAATGCTGTCTTTAACCAGAACTTCAAGCATTCTAGTTAGCATTTGTTAGTAAAAAATTGTGGGTATTTTTCCTCCCCTCAAAGATGCAGTGAAGGGGCAGGATACCAAACACTAGTCATCTGCATTAGCGAAAAATAAAGTTTGGGAATAATTAATGCAAATCGGTAAAGGATACCTATTTATGGCAGATATATTAGGAAAATGTATCCTATCTGAAAAATTAAAAACTGCTTCCCCTTTCTTGCCTCTGGTGTTATTAGAATTAAAATCCTCCCTCTTGGAAGAAGCAGTGCCAAACATGGGTATCCAGCTTGACATGAGGGTCGTTGTGCACAGAAAAAGGCATTCCTTTCTCTAGACAGCTTCTTGTCAGGGAACAAGAGGAGAAGTGGGGGGCAGGTGTCAGCATGCCCTTGCCTCTCAGAGGAGCACCTCACACAGGACCCAACTGGGAGCCATTCACAGCAACCTTTACCGAGAATGTGAGCACAATGTGAATACTCATCTACTTGCTGGGCTACAGGCCCTCTGGGAAGTCATACTTTTACAAGGCAACCCCAATGTGGGTCCTCACCCATGCGCTTAGAGGGACTTACAATAAGATTCAATTACAGGCACACACAAGGAGGTTAATAATAGGTTTATTTACTAGAGAAAGGGAAATGAGTAACTCAGGGAAAAGGAGAGGTTGGTTAATGCGTCCTACCAGTTCCGCTGACCTGGAACCCCAATAGTACGCTAAGTGTCAGCAGAAAGCCAAGGAACAAAGGAGCCAAGAGGCCAAGAGACCCCCAAAGCCCACATGTCTGGTTTTATATCCAAACATGGCTGCTTAACTCCACCTTCAGGTCCAGCAATCCTCCCTTTGGTGATGCTGGGATTTGTAGTTTAGGTGTGTAGGGTGGGGTGGTAGCATCAAAATCTGTATCTGTAGAGTTCATTCTGGACATCATTTCCTCCTAACAATACCTGAAATCTGATTCTGTGTGATGGAAATACATGAATTATCAATAGATCGATTTTAAGAAACTTGAAAGATTTGGATCTCAATACAGTATTATCAATAGATCAATTTTAAGAAACTTGAAAAATTTGGATCTCTGTATACAGTAAATATTAATCCTGAGATGCTGCATTGTAATTAATTGCTAGAAAAATCTCAGAAATTTTCTTTTAAGTCAAATTAAGAGCCTCTATTCTTCTTCAGGCATCACAGCATCAAGATGTCCTGTCTGCGTGATATCTTTTTCAGCATAATTCAATAAAGCATTAATTAATTCAGACTTGTCTCTTAAAACTAACATAGAGGCCCTTCCTGGTGGCGCACTGAGAATCTGAAGCCACTTCCGCATGAGTTCAATTCCCGCCTGCCCCGGAGGTGACCACATGGCGAGCCAGACCTCTCCTGACCCGCCCACTGCTTCCCTCAGCAGTGTACTTCGTTGATCTGCCTGTTCTGCTCTCCACTCTGTCTCTGGTGAAGCCTCTCACCGCCCCTGAGCCTCTGGCCTGTACCCCAGTTCTGTATGAATAAATAAATAAATCTTTATAAAAAAAAAAGCTAACATAGATAAGAGGTTTCATTTGGTTAATGGTATTTAATTTTACATTTCTTATATTATTAACTTTTAAAATTACCATTTTAAAATTTAAATGGAACCAAATAAACCTAGGTTATGTTCATTGTGATAAAATTCTAAAGTTACATAAACTTAAAAAGTGTTAAAAATTAAAAGCTTATTTTACCCTGAGTTTAATGCATCTAAAATTTACAAAATTATTTGCCCACATAAGGCAAACTATGAAATTATCATTAACAAAATGGACTATGAAAAAATAGACAAAAGAAGAAATATAACAAATATGTAAAAAGATTTAGATTAGCTCACACAGTCATGTATACTAGTATATGACTGACATATTTTGCTTATTAGATCAACACACTTATATCTAATGTTGATGATAGCAAAGGTTAAATAAAACAAACACCTACATCTTGTGGGGGGAAAGTTGATTTAGCTGTTGTGGAAGACAAATTAAGGAATGTAATTGGAAATACTTCAGCATATTGGTGCACTTCTTTAACTCCACAAATGAGTAAAGGTTTGTAACAGGGAAAATTATATAAAAAGTTAAATATCCATTAATATACCAATTAAATATTAGTATTCACTTAAGGGAATATTATGTAGCATATAAAATTTCATATTTAGGAAAGACTTTTAGGAATACAAAAATTCCTAAGGAAGCTTAAAATTATAAAAAAATATATATGTTCATTGGCAGAGACTAAGAAAAGGGCAAAAATAAATAAACAAAATGCCAATGGATATTATTTATTTGGACATTTTATATTACTTTTCTCCTATAAGCTGTGCAGGAGAGTTTTTATTTCTTCTCCTTCCCAAATGAAATCCTAAGTAGCTAAAAGTCTTTATTAACTTAATAAGATTTAAAAAAAAAAAAAGCATCTTATAGTTTTAATGCCATTTAAAATTTGCAAAATTATTTGCCCACATAAGGCAAGAAATATCAAGCCTATCAAGAAATGTGTATACATAAGTGCCAAACATACACACTATTGACAACTTTCATTTAACTAGATAGAAAAAATTGCATGGAACCAACTTACGGAAAGTCAGGTAAGAGTGTAACAAAAGTAAATACAAGAGAAATTGTTAGAGAGTGCCCACAGTTCACATTCAACAGATAGACCCAAAGAATGAAGAGGAATCGTGAGCAGTTCAACTATAGGACCTGGGCCTGTGACTCCTTGTCGCCAGTTCACCACACTGGGTGTCAATTCCTCCCTTTTGTCTAGGCCGCATTGCCAAGTTCATCAGGTTAGTTCTGGGAACAGGGTACTCCCAGGTATTGGGTGGGGGAGGAGGGGAAAGGAGAGGAGCCAGAGGTCCCTAGGGGAGGAATGGAGTTCTTTTTCCCCAGAATTCTAAACAATGTCAATCAGGCAAGGAGGACACCTTTATCATATATTATAGCCCCAGAAGTTTTAGGTTCTCTTCTGGACTTTTGCATGAGAGACTGTTTCTCCAATTTTATTTTTCTCATTAAACTCTAAGTTGAATGAATGAGGGCACGGTGTTGATTTTGTTTTGTCTGTGTCCTTAGAACAGCGCTTGTCACATAGGAGGAGCTCAAGACATAATTACTATATTCAAGACTGTTTACTAAAGACTAGGGAGATGATTCCTTTTTTTCACAGATAGGTTTGGAGCTAGAAGCAATCATGCTTAGTGAAGTAAGCCAGAAAGGAAAAGAAAAATACCGGATGGTTTCATTCATAGCAGTAGCATAAGGGATCAGGGGGGAGAAAAAAAGAGATAGAGAAACAAATGTAATAAAGATGAAAACAATGAACAACTATAAACCAGAGACATTTTATGGGAGTGGTAATGGGAATGGGATTGGACTGGGGTGGGAAGAGTGGTGATGGCACGCGGGTGAATTGGTGTTGGGAAGCCCATGGGGAGTACAACTGAGATTTTAAAAAAGAAATGAAGAAAATGAAGAATGATGTAAAAATAAAATTTAAAAAATAAAATTCACTTAATATTAAGTGAATTAATATTAATTAATTTTTATTTGATATGATTATTTTTTACAAAGCATGAGATAAGTGCATGGTAGACAATATACATTACATACCTTTGAAATACATAACAGTTTCTCTTAAGCAAATATTAATTTATTATTAATTAATTTATCAATTAAAAACATTTGTTTTGATATATGTATAAATAGGAATCAGTGGAGATTTAAATGTCAACATCTAGATGAAGCAGTTAACTTTATGCACAACTGGATAAAATCAACTTTTATGAGCAGTATATATTGGGACTTTGAAGACTCAATGTATCTTTTATTCCTTTATCCATTTGTAAGTAACCCTGATACAGATTCTTCCACTAGCCCAAAGTATGACATTTTTATTTGGCATGATTTGGCCTGTAGATATAGTACTGTCATTACCTATATGGAAACATTTTTTGGGTGTTCTCAAAAAACATTCCACTTTTAGATAGTGAGGGAACTTAGGGTTGCCCATTTTTTTTCTGGGACACATAATTTTGAAATGATAACACCTGTACTTAAACATAAATAACCAGTTCAAACCTGAGCCTTGCCCACAGTCCCTGCATCTGCCTTCACTTAACTTCTCTCTCATGGATGTTTCACTTCATTTGATCCCCACATCATACCAAGAAAGGCACCGCTTCTTACAGGCATGAAAACTCAGACAATTGTGTAAGTGGAAAAGAATTAGAATTTTCAAAGCTCTCAGGATATATTTATTGAAATATCAATAATCTACTGTATTTTAAAAAGTGAAGCATTCTACTGCCAGAATAATTATTAATAAATTCAAATAATTTTATTCCAATATTCATGAGGAAAGCAGCAGCATGAACAGTAAAAAAGCATCAACTTCAATAGTATGCCAATACAGCTCAAAAAGCAAATGTCATTGAGACAGTAACTTGCTAAATGTTAAATAGTAACAATATATTTAATAACAGTTTTAATGGTATAAAAAATAAAAGCTCAAGATACCACTCTTCTATTAACTGATGCTACATTTCCCCACCCTTAGTAGTTATCATCATACTACCATTATACACCTGTATATACATAAGTATGTGTGGTATTTTATCTTATTTAAAAATGCACTCCATTTAAAATTCTAAATTCTATGCAAGGAAATTCTTTAAGAGTAAAATATTCTATGATAGATACTTTACTGTCCTGTTCAAAGGAAAAGACCATATAAAAGAACTAGTCCATACAGATCTGGACTTAACATGTTTACATGAATTCATTATATTGTTACATCAAATAAATTTGTACAAGTCAAATAGTTTCTCTGGTTATATGATATATCTACAAACTGAGGGTAATTTGCAGTTAACATTCCTAACTTCCATTCAGGCTTTAAATAATCTTAATTCCCACAGTTCTATGATGTATCTCTATGATGCCACGCTTTATGACTATCCAGATGTCAATTTTAACTGATGCTATTTACCAGACTAAACAGTAGATATAAAAAAAGACTTTCAAATCAAAAAATAGCTCTACTTAAATGGAAGGCATTCAGAAAAATAACCTTCTATTTAACAAAAATATCCCAGGTCTACAGCATGTTGCAATTTTATACACCAAAAATACCTAAATGACTTAAAATAATTTGATCCTCTAAAATAGGGCAGATCAACAAATCTATTTTCTAATGGATATTGTATATACTTTATACCAAGTACCAAATTGCTATATATTAATCATCTGAAATATAGAGTACTATTAAATGGTACACACTTGCACAGTGCCTAAATAGTAGTGATAAAATCTCAATCCATTTGACAACATGATGCTGCACCATGTTTTTCAAATATGAAAGCTTAATTCCACTGGCATGTACAATCTATAGGTTCCTGGAGAGTGTGCATGATTTCAGTTCCATTTCCTGAGCAATACAGTGGCACAGTCAAGTTTTGCACTCCATTTTCACGACAGCATTTGCAGAATCTTAGATGGCTCTCAATATTGATATTATATATGGTGGCTGATGGGCATTTTCCATCACAGGATGCAACATTTATCTGTAAGGAGGGGCAGTGAGGAAAGAATGTCTTGAAAAATTGTAAAACACTGATTATTGATTCCACTAAGAAGTCAAATGAAAGTCAGTCTTTCTTCCTTATCATTTCAACCCTCTGTAGGCTAGAAGACTGAAATTTATTAAGTTGAAACTTTGTAAAACTCAAGGTGAAGTTTCATGTAAAGCCCAAGACATCAATGCTAATATATCTCCAAATGTAAAAGGTAAGGAACACGTTAATCACAATCTAATGATTCTAGAGTAACCTATGCTACATCTCAATCAAGCTACTAAAATAAGAAAAAGACATATTAAAGGAGGCAAAGTTAAAACTAGAACATTTTTGAGCAAATTGCATAGTTAAGACAATATGTAGTCAAATAGCTTTAATTTTAATCTCTGTGGACGACAGTTATTATTCAGGGCTATTGATTATTTGTGCTAACAATAATTTATAGTTCTTGACAAACACTATTTTTAATTTATTTTTATTTATTTACTTTTTACATCATTCTTCACTTTGTGCATTTTACATCTCAGTTGTAATCCCCCTGGACTTCCCACCACCAATTCACCCATGTGACAAACAGTATATTTTAAGGTAAGAATGGTAATAATTTCAAAGTTAAATCTCATGTACTAGCATTTTGTTGGCTTAAATAAATATTAGTATCTGTGACATAAACTTTTGGAGAGACACAAGTTCATGTAACAAATGATGTTTTTCCACTTACAGAGCTTTGACTTAGACAGTCTTGTTTCCTTATGATTGATTTAATGATCACTTTCTGGCATATTCTTTCTTCTCGTTTACCTGATCAAAAATGCAGAATGCATTAATTCAGTAATGACCTAAAAAGCCCATGTCAAATTGTTTAGTTCAAGTAAATCTATGACTATATTTAAAGTTTAAGATGATGTATTTATATGAAATATATTCTGGCAGATTGAAAGATATTGAGGCCAGGTATTGAAGAGGCCTAAATCTATTACTTACACATATAATCAATGTTCTGAACCTTCAATTCCTGATCTACAAGGGAAATCACACCTACTACCTCTCCTACTACCATAACTATTGTGAAGATTAGTTGTGATCCTGTCTGCAATATGCTTAATAGAAAAACCAATGTGTGACAGGCAATAAGTGGTAGTAATAGAATTGATTGCACAGATCTTCCCATCTGCCCTCATATAAAGTAACTAAGTAATTAACATTATAGAATCCACAGTCTTAACATGTAGGCAGGATTCTAGTCCTATGTCTCAGACCTATGGAGAAGTCCCCACTCAGAGGAAGCAGAAGAAAGAGAAGTAAGATCACAAATTTATCAATTTCTTCATATTCTAGAGCCAAAATGTCATTCTTTGAGTTCTATATACAATGACTACTGAATACATATTAGTTTACACTTGATTCAGAGAATACAGAATAATAAAATTGCTTGCTTTTGGTAAGTAGTAAATTTTAAAGTATTATGTGTCTACCCCTAGTAATTAAGAAAACAAAAGTGATATTATTCTAGCCATAAAAGTCTCATAAAAGAATATAAATGCTATGGGTTGAATAGTTCCTTCTTAAGAGTTATATATACTTAATAATGGGGTGTTATTTGGAAACAGGGTCTTTGTAGAGGTGATCAAGTGAAATTAGATTATTAGAGAGAACCCTAATAGAACTTGTGTCTATAACAAAGGGGAAAGACACATATGTACAGACATATACGAAAAGCTTAGACCAAGGGAATATATACTTACAGATCTTGCAACAACCTTCATTATAAAATTTCACAATCCCTTCATTCTAGAAAGGGAAAGGAATAAAATCAAAACTCACAGTGTACATTGATTTCCTCTTAAGTTAAAAATAGAAAACAAGCTTCTGCAATATTTTTATTAAATATCACAGAACGTTTATAGAGAAACAACTGGGATATACCTCTTTCTAGTAAGAATAACTTTGTTTTTAAAATTAAGATCAGATATTTTATTTATTGTAACTTCTTTAGTAATATGAAAAAGGGGGAGAAAATTATTTATTTAACGTACATATTTTTGATACATAAAATATTTCTTATTAAAGGAAAGTCCTGATAGGTACTCTTAAGTAGAGGCCATTAAATTTTTGCAACTCCTAGAAGTAATCTAAATTTTTCTAAGTCTAAACTGAGTTCTTGAATAAATTGCATATTAAAATGATTTATCTTTTTCTTCAGTATTTTAATATTTAAAAGTTCCCCACTTCAGAATGATTCTTTCCAAATGTTAAATTAAGAAAATTATATTGATTACCTTTTTAATTATTATAGTAGTTCTGGAGTCACTTACTAGTTGCAATTAAAATATAAGAATAATTTACTCATAAGAATGAGTCTATAAGTGATGTCTGTCTTCCCAGAGTTGAAATTCTATGACTTTCACATGCATTCTATCTTGTTAGTTAATTCTCTCTAAAAGGGCACATCTTGAAAAAATGAAACTATGCTATTTCTCTATCTTTAAAATGATAGCATCACAAAATGGAACAAATTTCACTTTCCAGTAGGTATTATGATTTTCTATATTTTTAAAGCTTCAAATAATGTCTTTCAAAAATTATCATTTTCAAGAGCCTATTCATCTAATAAAATTTTCTCTGACAGAATAAAGAACTGGGACAGTAAGACTAAAGTATCAACAATGGTGTAACCAGTGATGAGTTCTATAGTGGCTTGTGATTGGAGATACTAAGAAAAATTTGACTTAGGCAGCCAAAGTTAACAGTTAAATGACATCATAAACCTTCTTAAGAAAGAAAGTTGGACAAGCTCTAACTGATTTGTTTATAAATCCATACTGGGGGAAAAAAAGCTGAATCAACTTATCAAATGATTTTTCAATAATCTGATCACATAAAAATCCAGAGATAATTCAAACATAATAATAATTTTGTTACTTATATGTCTCACATAAATCAAAATGGAAAACAGAACTATAACAGGACTTTTATATACACATGAAAATGAAACTTAAACCAAAATGAGTAAGTCACAAAGTGTGTTTATGACCTTAGAAAACATATTAATGCATATTTTCTGTTACATCTCATGTAATATTTTCATAAATATAACAAAGTACAAACCATTTTGCATTCAGTCTCATTAAAAGGGGGACAGACCATACTATAGTTCAGAATCATTGTTCCTTCAGAAGTCTTAACACATTCGTATGTGGTGCAATTATAATGCCAAGTACTCCCCTCCTAAAAATAAAAGAGAAAGTTATTGTTTTGCTTATTAATGTCTATTGTATTTCTTAAGTAGCAAATTTCTGGTCCTGCCAAATTAAAAGTAATATAACATGCAGAAAGCTTTTGTGACATGAAGTTTTCATCTGGAAATGTCCCCCAATATATCTACAATCGTTAAAAATGTATACACGGGCCCTCCCTGGTGGCGCAGCGGGTTAAAGCACTGAACTAAGAAGCTTAAGCCACTTCCGTTACGTTCGATTCCTGCCTGCCCCGAGGAGATCCACATGGCGTGGCAGACCTCTCCTGACCCACTCGCTGCTCCCCTCAGCAGTGTACTTCGTTGATCTGCCTGTTCTGCTCCCCACTCTGTCCCTGGTGAATCCTCTCACCCTCCACATCTCTGGCCTGTACCCCAGTTCTGTATGAATAAATAAATTAATCTTTAAAAAAAAAAAAAGAAAGAAAATCCTTATTTAAAAAAATGCATACACATACGTGTATATATGTGTGTGGATGTATATATTTCTTATATCTATCTGCTATCTGGTGTATCTGTGTTTGGAACAGAGATGTAAATGTGGAATAAACCAGTAGACCAGTGATAAGGAGGTTAGGAATAAAGGTCAGGAGATCTAATTAGAAAAAGGCAACAAGAGAGATGCTTCAATTCAGACTATTCTACACAAGGTAGTGCTCCACCCTAACCCAACCCTAACCTTGATGAAACTACATAGAGCTAATTGTATCTTCAAAAACTAACATGAGATAAACTCAAGAAATCTGAATACAATTGTGATTTGAGTCAATGCTAATAACCTAGTTTGATATTTTACTCTAGTTTTGCAAGATATTGCTAATGGAAGAAAGTGCATGAGGAGTGTTAAGGAAACTGTGTTCTGTCTTACAATGTATGTGAATCCCACAACTGCCTCAAAGTTAAAAGTTTATTTAAAAAACAAAGCAATAAAGAAGGAAGAAACAAATGGGCATCTATGACTACTACGAAATTAATTATTTAATTTGGTCAGTGTCAAAGGTCTTGCCCTAGTTTTACCTCACTAATTATAAAACAACAAATCCTATTACTTACTACACCATTTTTCATGAGATTCTTTTAGTCTTCCTTCCACTCCCTTACCGTCAAAAAAATGTTTAACCCTTTGAGTTTTGGTTCTAATTTGGTATACCTGATGGCTATTTTAAAACTGATTCCTACTCTTTTAACAAATTTTCAACCATAACTAGTTCACCCCTAACTTCAGAATTCCTATTTAGAATAATATCAATAATTATAACATAATTACTGCGATGTAACTGTTAGTGCATATTTTATTTTGTAATCCACACTTTAAATTCTATTCTATTCGAATTCTGAGTTGAAAATTACGTGTGAACCAATAAATAATTTTGATAAAGTTCCTTTTCTCTAGTTCTAAATCAGCCTATGAATAACAGTGCTTCTATGAACTTCATTTGGAAAAGATATACCAGTTCAAGTCTAAGAAGATACATTATTTAAACTCAGGAAAAACAGTAATGTTGAAATCAAAATTGAATCTGAAAATAGAAAACAGATTTTGAGAGAATGAAACTTATTCTTGAAAAATAAACTCATGGTTTTGATGTATTTTTACCTATATGCATTACCTATGTTTTAAAAAATACTCTGAAAATAGAAGATGTTTATTTAAACCTCAGGTCTATTACAATGAATATCAATTGTATGCGGTGATGGTTTTTATATTATTTACATCTGTAGAATTTACTCTGCCCTTTTACCCCAAATCCCCAAATGCCTACATTTTCTAGTCTCTCATCCTTCCTTTCTGACACCTGCATTTCTTCATTATAAAAGAGGGCAAGACTCCCTCTTTAAAAAAAATAAATACTGCTAGGATAAAACTGATAGTAACTACACTGTTTAAATCAACAATACTATTTTGCATAAAATTATAAAATAGATTATGATGGAAAAAAAATGTTTAACTTTCTTATTGAAAAGAAGTACAAGGGCCCTCCCTGGTGGTGCAACGGGTTAAAGTGCAGCACTGCAAAGTTGGCTGCAACTGCTTCAGTGCTAGTTCGATCCCCGGCCCCAGAGGTGATCTATATGGCACAGCAGACCTCTCCTGTCTCTCCTGCTTCTCCCCTCAGCAGTGTACTTTGTCAGTCTGCCTGTTCTGCTCCCCACTCTGACTCTGGTAAATCTTCTCAGCGCCCCTGCACCTCTAGCTTGCACCCCAGTTGTGTATGCATAAATAAATAAATACTTTAAAAATTTTTTTTTGAAGTACCGTAATGGAAAAATAGGCTTTCCTTTGGACACATAAGTAATCTTATGTAATTAAGTACTGCACAAATAAGACATCAGATAATTAAGTTATCAATAGACAAAAGCTTAAGGATAGGAATGATAAGTTGGAGGTTCTTTCAGGTGACATGCATCACAAGGACTATCCAACACCTGATTACACAACTAATAACTACACGAAAACTGCAGTTTCATTCTTCTGTCTAGCAAAGGAGTAGGTTGGTCTGCAAACCTATATAGAATCCAATGAGCAAGTATATTATAGTTTTTTTCCTGTGGAATTGTTAGAAATGAGTATTTTACAAGGTCCAGTCCTCCTATCTGGAATAAAAGTGAGGATCTATAATAAATAAAAAGTGAGAAATGAGTTAAACGTGTTCTTTTACAACAGAAATGATCAGTAACTAGTATGGCTGTGTTTTGTGTATGAGTATGCTTTGTATTGCCATTCTTATTGTATTTAGAACTCTTAAGTATGAGAACGAAATTTCCAAAGGTATTTGATTTAAGAATATAACACAGAGAGCTACTTTCCAAGGAACACATTTTGGTAAACAGCAATTTATACCTCGTGTATAACTGATGATCCATTTCCCATCTGAAACTTGCAGGATACATTTTTGCAGTTACCGCAGCAATTATAATCACTGGCAGACGGAGTATACACCTGATGCTGCATACAACAACAGTACCTTGAATTAGTCACACACAGCATTAATGTTTTTAATGAATGAGTCCTGAAAGTATTTATTTACATAACTATATGCTCTCTCAGAAGACGTGTAAGCACATCCAAGGTGAAATGTGAAGAATTTCAAATAATAATAGACTTTACGTAATTGTACTAGAAGTGAAGTAGATAGTGCTCTTTCCATCTACTCACTTAGATTCATCAAGCAGGTACAACCACCTCAAGTCAAGCAAACTACACATAATAATATTTCTAGAGCTCAAGGCCATCTATGAGGAAATGAAGATGTGCATTACGTAATGCAGCATTCAGTAGCTCAAATTCTATAGTTCTCATTTTAAGATTAATCAGTTCTCTTCAGAATGATTTACAAAGAATACTTACAATATCACACTCCTTTGAGCAATTTATCATTGTAAAATTCAGCATGTGAAAGCCTGTATAGTTATTTTTTTCTTCCAGACACTCCACTGAATGACAATAGCCCCCTTCCAAATACTTAATCATGGATTGGCCAGGATTCAATACTGATACATCTTGAAATACACACACATTGTCCTTCTCTATGAAAAGACAAATGGTCATTAAGAAACTATTCAGTTTTTTGTTAACCAATGGAATTTTTATTTAAGCCTATGTTTTCATGGCTCTATGAAAAATTTCAAGACCAAGGAACTAAAAATAATGAAGATCTTCATGTTTATAAATTGCTAACAACTCAAGAATATACTTAATGATGAATGTAGCACACTTATTCCTTAACATTCATTAAGAAATCTGAAAAGGTGTGGACCTATGCTTCTAAATCATGTGCAGTGTTATAAGCCATTAGCTCAATAAAAAACACTACAGTCGGGCCTCCCTGGTGGTGCAAGGGATTAAAGTGCAGCAGTATGAAGTTACCCGCAGCAGGAGTCTGATCCACGGCCAGGGAGGTGACCCACATGGTGCAGCCGACCTCTCCTGACCCACCTGCTGCTCCCCTCAGCAGTGTATTCCTGTAATGCCTGTTCTGCTCCCCACTCCATCTATGATGAATCCTATCACACCCTGTACCTCTACCCTGTACCCCTGTTCTTGTATGCATTAACAATCTTTTTAAAAAACACTACAATGAAAATATCTTTACAAATAAAAAAGAAACTTATCTGTAATCTCAACTGCAGCTCTTTTTTTAAAAGATTTATTTATTTATGCATACAGAACTGGGGTACAGGCCAGAGGTGCAGGGGTGGTGAGAGGGCTCAACAGAGACAGAGTGGGGAGCAGGACAGGCAGATCAACAAAGTACACTGCGAGGGGAGCAGCAGGCAGGTAGGGGGAGGTCTGCTGTGCCATGTGGCCACCTCCAGGGCCGGGGATCATGCTCACACTGAAGAGGTTGCAGCTCACTTGCAGTGCTGCGTCCTAACCCGCTGCACCACCAGGGAGGGCCTTGAGCTTTCTCCAAAAGCTATACATTGCAGTAGATCCCAGAATTGTAGATCTAAGTTAGCCAAGCTACTTCTGTTCTTTCTGGAAACATAACAGGACAAATATTATGATCCGAGAAGCAGAGGCAAATCCAGCTGATGGGACTGTGTACAGTTCATGATGTTTAGTTGTTATTTAGTGAGAAGCTTGTCAGTTATATTGTGTCATAAAGTTAATAGTCATGGATGTCATGTTTTATCATGGAGGCAGCTGACTTAATGTGCTATTATATCTTTAAAAGGATAATGATAAAGTACTCAGCTCAGAAGCACTTTGTGCCTCAAACACTGTAGTAAGACTAGTCCCAACAAACAAAAGTTTCACCTTTTATTGCTCAAAAAATTATTTATTTATTAATCAACTAATAATATGCAGATGTGTTATTTCAAAGAAAATCAATTATATTTTGCTAAATCAACACCAATGTGATAAAGTAGTAAGCAAAAAACTCACTTTTAGATGCTGTGTACTCTTTATTTTTTCTAAGAAAATGTGTTTATTTATTTTCTAACCTCACTTAATTTTTGTACAATACTGGATTTCTCTCCTCAGTCTAGTCCCAGTAGTTCTTCCACCACCATAAAGCCGTGAACCATCACCACATACCCTTGTGCTCTTCCTGCTCCTGTTTTGTCCCCTCTCCCTACCCTTCTCCTGTTATACAATCTTTAAAATTATATAATATGATAAAAAGAACCCTAGCATCAAAGCATAAGTTCTGTGAAATTCTTGGGGAAAAAAATATTCATTTTTCTGTCCTGCTATCAAACTGCTGGTTTATTTAGAGATATTACAAAAGACAAAGCTCAAAAATCATATATTTTTATATTTAAATATTGACAAATGGCTTACAATAAGCACACGGCACATGAAAAAGCATGCTTAATTTATTAATTGTAAATTACACATATTTATGCTATTCATTATCACTTAATACTTAAAAAAATCATAGTTACCACAAAGATACTTTATACATCCACAGCCACTCTGAAAGTTGTGGTCTATTGCAGCAAATTCTCCCTGTTAGAAAGGCATTATTATGATGATTATATGATGTATTATAGTGCTTATTTTCTGACAATTATAAAAGTATAGAATGTAAGATCTAATATATTCTCTACTTTATAGCAAGACACAAAGCAGGTGCTTAATAAATATTTGATGGTGAACAGGCTTTTCTTAATCCCGTGGTCACTTAATGGATCATCCCGTGGAAAAAAACTGACAACAAACAATGTGATCAAGGATCATTTAATCTCTCTAAACTTTATTTACTAAATGATTGAAGTCATAAGATGACCTTTATGGTCTGTCCTTACTTTAAGCTATGTTATTTGATTCTGAGTGTCCAGTGAGCAACTGGAAATAGAGAATACTTGAAAACCCTGGAAACTTCCCTTGGTGGAAATGATGTTGATCTTTGTAGAGGTGGCTCAGAGGTCTATTTACAAGGCACTATGTAAAGCAGGGGCAGAAAAATATGCATTGAGACAAATGGCCCAGACTCAAGAATAAGACTGCCTTCATTCTGACCAAGCTCTGCTACCTACTAGCTGTGCAGACTAGCACAGGTTACTCAGCCAGCCTTCTCCTTACTTCCCTCATCTGTAGAATGGGAGTGGCAATACTTTCTACTGCTAAGTTTACTGAGAGAAATAAAGGGATCAATTATGCAAAAAACCTAGAATGAGTTAACAGATAGAAAGCTGTTAGTAAACTGTTGTTTAAATTTTGCTTTATCAGGAATAGTGTAGATGTTTTTGATGAAAGGTATTTAAATAATCTATGCAAACCACAGATTTGACATGCAGAAGTTTATACATATCAGATGATTTGGAGTTAAACACAGATCCACAGAATTATTTATGTCATAGATCTATCCACTACCTCCAAAAGTTTCTTCAAATTATTATTGTTTATTGTTATTTTCATTTTGGTAAGAGCACAAACTAAGTTCTACCTTAGAAAATCAGTCAATCTACAAATATAGTGTTAACTATAGGCAGTATACAGTACAGCAGATCTCTAGAACTTATTCATCTTGAATAACCACAGTTTTACCTCTTCTTTGTATACTAAGCAGTGGCATCCTAGTAGAGATTTGTTATTTTATTATACACTATAACTATAACCTGGGGAGTCTAAATCAGATGTTTAAGGATATACATTTTTTGAGAAAGAAATTTAAAATGAAATCTCCTTGGGGTGGGGGGGAACTTTCCCAATAAATAGGACCAGGAATATATTATCTTACACGAACCCTATAGTTATATTATGAAGGTAAATATTTAAAGGAAACAGACTTAAAAATCATTATAAGTTATATCTAATGGTTAAATAAGTGATACAATGTCATAATTATTCCTAAAATTAAAACTTTAGAATTATGTAAGTTAGCAAATTCATAGATAACTTAAAGAAGGTGCAAATCGCTATAACTTTATACCTTTTCTTTGTAAGAGATGCATTATTAGTACATTTCCTTGAAGAATTATTAAAGTTACCTTATAATAGTAAGATAATTCTTTAATGTTTGGCTTAATTTTAAGTGAATTTAAGTAGATACAAAACTGGTAGAGTTAGTCATTCATAGCAAAACATATCATAATTTCCTATCTCAAGTTAAATATAAAAGAGTACATTATTTTAATCTACCTCAGTACCACCCAATAAGGATAATTCCATTAACTGAGAAAAATTTATATAATGAGAAAGATAAAGGAAGCAAATTGATATAAATAATAGTGTTCTTACCACTTCACATGTTGGCATAACAAGGTTCTCACAGCTACATTCTGAAAAGATAAAAGCATCACATTTATAATGATCAGAATATATGAACACACCACAATAAAACTTTGAATAATGAAAATTAGTTACCACAATGCCAAGTTGGACAACATTGACCAGATACATTTTCTTTCAAAAGAGTCATATCTTCTGCACAGCTGAGTAGTGGCTGAGAACAAAGGTTTGGCTCACAAACTAAATAGAAAAATTACATGGGCAAAAATTAGCTTCATGAAATAAGTTCTCACCACCTACATTTAATTCATTGCGATTGCTGATGTAGTGAGTGGCCATATATCTCGCCATTGTTGACTCTCCTGCGACCCATGGGCCAGGTGTTGGTGAGAATGTAGTGAATGACACTTTAGCAGGTATATCAACAGGAGCACAAGAGGACAGCATCAGGGGAAGAGGCCTGAGAAATGGCAGTGGTGCAAGAAAAAAATGAATGTGGAAAGAGTGTGGAATCACCTCAATTTTTGGAAATTCTAAGATGATGAAAAAAAGTTACAACTGACCTTTTTTTATGTAAGCAAGGTTATTATCCAAAAAAAAAAAATTCTTAGAAGTTCAATATTTTATATGTATAAGCTAGAATTCAACAAAAGTCTGATATAATAGTACAACTAAAAGGGACTGGGCTTCTTAAACACTGGAGATGTCTACATATTTTAAAATAGTTTTAAAAAACACTTACCACAGTAATAGTGAGGACAACATAAGTGTGTGGTGTTAAGATCCACAGTAAGAAGTTCGCCATCAGTACAGAGTGGAATAGGTTCAGTGCAAGGTTCACATACTAAAGTTAAAGCAGAAAAAAGTCCCAGAAAGTCACAGCTGAGCTAAACAATTTTTTTCAGGTGACTTTATATATGTCAAACCCTATGAAATCCCCACCAAATGGGAGCTTTTCCCTACATCTTCCTTTTTCTTTCAAGAAACTATACTCACCACAGAGAGGAGAAAAACAACAGGGCTCTTCCTGTTGAACTTGAAGCATAAATTGATCTTCTCTGCACTCTGGTATTGAAATACTGGGGCATCTGAGTGGGTCACATTCTGCAGAAAAACAAAGATATTGATAACACAAATTAATAATTTGCATAAAGAGACAAAATAAAATAAACAAATCAGTGTGCCTTAGTTCTCTTTGAATTTAGTGAAGCACACTTCAAATACTTTAACATTAAGTGGAAATATATAAGGCAAATGCATAGGAAGAAGCTACTGTATATGCATATGTGAGATCTCTATACACAGTTGTTATTTCCTAAAATGAAGATGTGCTCTAGATGCACAACCATAAAAAAGGGGAAATCTTGCCATTTGGAACAAAATGGAAGAAGCTACAGGGGGTTATGTCAAATGCATTAAATCAGAAGGGAGAAAGAAAATACTGAAAATTTCACTTATATGTGGAATATGTAAAAATAAAAGAAAAAAGAAACAAACAAAACTAAACTAAAACAATCCCTAGAAATATGACTGCAGAACTGAGGCTACCAGAGAGAATAGTGAGTGTGGGGAGGTTTGGGGTAGGAAGCAAAGTAAGTGAGGGGTTCCGGTGGGCTATAATGGAAGGTTATGGGTGCTCTCTGGCAGTGAGCATGGTAACAGACATCTGAAAAGAGGTGAGCCTATACCTCTAAATCATGAACAATATTATAAAGCAATGTTGCCTCAATACAAAGCAATAAAATAAAAGACAACAAAACTTGTATATGTACATATGTTTACACATACACATATATATGCACATATATAAATTTATAAAGAAACTGCATATGTAAAAAACTATCTTTAGTAAGACAATTAAATCATCTTCATAATAAGTTATGTCCTTGTGGAGACAAAAAATAAGAATCTGGTCCCATGGAAAGTGAATCTCATCTATTTTTCCCGAATTATTTACTCACCACATTGGTACTGTGGACAGCAAGAAAGAGGACTGTGACCAATGACCAATTTTTGACTATCTGTGCATGTTGGAACAGTGCTTTCACACAAGCTCATGTCACATCCTGGAGAAAAAGAAACAGAAGCATTAAATTAAATGCTCAAACGGAAATGAACCTCATTATGTATGTCTTACGGTATAAGTAATACTCTTCATTTCACAAAATGGGTTACATGTGAAAAGCAGGATCTTAAGATTGATTAATTATTGTCTTTCATCCTTAATTGTCATTAGTCAGATCCCTGGATCCTTTATCTTGTCAATTTCTACTGAATATTATCTATTGCTAACAGGGATCTGCATGTTTGCCTGCAAATTTAACAAAACCATAACAAATAAAACGTGCTTGAGAAAGAGGTGCATGTAGGACAGTATTTCTGTTGTGACTTCTAGCTTAATTTGTTATACAAAGCATCATGCATACCCTGCTTTTTCACAATAAATACTAACATATTTTGTGGCATTAACTGACTACAGGGCTTCAGTCTGCATAGATACCACAGATTTTCTTTGAACAGCAGGTCTGCTTATCAGTGACGCCCAGAACAACTTCAGCTTCTCGTTCACAAACTGGGGAAGGCTCGTCATCACATTCAGGTTCTATAGGAATAATGCTTCCATTCTCCAAACATTGGTATAGGGCACATTCGTCAATACCCCCATTCCAAACCTCCCCAGCAGTGCGAGGTTGGCCTTCACTATCAGTGCATGCTTAAAAAAAAAAAAGGACAACATTACATCACTCCAGACCTGGGCATTGAAACAAAGCAAGCAGCAGTGTTCCCATTTCACATTGTGGCTACACCCAGTAACATCACTTATTACAGATGTTTTCTCAGAATCCATTTTATATTTACTGGCTACTGGTCCACATTTTTCTTCAATGAAATTGTATTAAAATAAATATGAAAAATAGCTTTCAATTCTAGAAATTTGTATGAACTCATCTATAAAGAAGATGATTTGTTAGTGGTTTTTTTCTTTTCCTCTGTGCTTGAACGAGCACAGTAATGTCAACTTAAATCAGTTTCAAAATATTAAATCTTAAAAATGAATGGTATTAGAAAACAAGATATTACCCACACAAGGGTTCAGGAGAATTTTTAAAAAGACAAAACTTTCAGTAAAACTATAAATTGGAGATATTCAGCAAAGGAGGGTGAGGGAAAAGGATCAAAACAGAAGGGAAGGGCACCAGAATCTAAGGTGATGCTTTATGGGTGTCTTGGTGGTAGATTTATGGGGACAACACTTGAGAGGAGAAATCAAACACAGCACAGCAACGAAAAAACATATAAACAAATAAATGACAAAAATCAAAATAAAAAGAAAATAAGATATTCTTGTTTCTTTCTAAAAAAGAAAACAAGGTATTCACTACCTTACATTAATTTTTTGTCATGAAAATTCTAAATACTTCTACTTTAAAATTTAAACATGGGAGTAGCAATCAAGCAAAATACTAGTCAAGGACTCTATTAGTTTTATTATTAAAGTTGATCTTAATGATAAATATGAACTTAGTGTGTCTTTAATGAGTAGTAAATATAAATGCAATGAACATCATATGCTCAATAACCATCCCTTATTTTATCCTATCAAGTAGCAAACTAAACTCACAGGTCCCCCATTCAGAACCTGCAAACCAGAAAACGTGTTTCCTTTATAATACATAGGTGATCTTTGATCAATATTTCTCAGATCTAAAAATGTTTTATTTATTTATGCATGTATGTATTTACTTCCTTGCTCCCTAAAGTCATTTTTTTTTCTTTGCTTCTTACCACATTCTTCCTCTGGAATGCACTGAGTTGAATCTGGCCTGTGAAGAATGCTTCCATTTTTGCACACACAGTCTTCTCTTAAGTTCAGGCATGGAGTGTGCCCATAAACCCACTTGTTCAGGCATGTTCTTGCTTCACAAGATCGCACACAGGGTTGATATTCTTTTCCTTCTGGGCAACTCAGAGCTATGAAGAATAGAGGATAAAAATTGCTAATAATGATAGCAAAAAAAAATGTCAAATTTCTTTCTAAAAATAAATCTCACACATTTCAGGCTTTTTAAAGCTCAATTTTCACTAATTATATAACCATAAATCAGGAAGAAAATAATCAATGGATATTCTTGAACACCTTTTAGCTAGTATTAGATTATGGTAGGAAAACTTCACCTGACTTCTATTAACTGCCTGATATGAACAGCAGGCAATCCTAATCTGGTTGACATTAGTGTCAACTACTCAGAATTCACTGTTCTGTGTAATGAGAGAAGATACAACAGGCTGCTCAAATAAGCAAGATGAAAAGCTTTAAATATGTAACTCAACCAAGCCATAACAGTGCTGCAGGTTTGGGCACCAGTCTTCACTGTCAAAAGAAACTACCATTGCTGAGCAGTTTCTAAATACTGGTTTAGAAAAATTCTTGTTGATTTTCAGTTATTTGAAAAGTCATTCTGTTTTTAAAAAAATGTGCAATAGGTCGAGCTATAATGTAAAGTTTAGTGAAGAATAATTTGATCATGTCCCATAAAATTGGAGATGTCATACATTTCCTATTAATCAAGGAATCCCACTCTTGAATAGTGATTACTGCTGGGAGAGGAAGACAGAGAAGGGATAGGATGTGGCCACACCAGTAGCTTCACCTGTAATTTCTTTCTAAGTATTGTCATGGAACTATGGCTTGCAATATACCATTCTTCTTGATGTAGTTTTTTCCTGGGGAAAATGAAAGCTTTTATTTTGTAGTAACATTCATTTTGAAGACACTTTACCATTTAAGAACTCTCTCTTCAGTTAAATTAACAATATAGATTGCAAAATGTGCCCAAGGTGGTGAAAGGGAATCACGCTTGTATGAAGAATGTTAAGAAAGCATGAACCCTCTAGACAAAAATGGGCAAAGAAACATACAAAAGAGAAGGGAAACAAGCCTGTATTGAGGGAAATACTGAGCCTAGAGCTTAATCAAAGAAAGTCACAAAGACTGACTTCTAGAAGAGTAGATATAGTGTTAGGAAAAAAGGAATAGCAGGTAGAAAAATCTCTAGCCTTTCCACATAGCAAATGAGTTAGAACGAGCTGGGGGAAAAGAGGCAGGCTGAATGGGAACTGACAAAATGTGTTATAACTTACAACACAGATGCCCGCCAAAAGATGACTGGATCAAGAAGATGTGGTGTGCATATACACAATAGAATACTATTCAACAATCAAAAAAGACACTTATACCATTTGTAGCAACATGAACAGAGCTAGAAGTTACTATGCTCATGCTTAATGAAACAAGCCAGAAGGAACAAGAAAAATACTGGATGGTTTCACTTATTGGAGGAATACAGGGGAAGCAAATAAGGCATCAGGAAAAAATAATAATGAAAAAAAAACTATCAGGCAACCATAAATCAGAGACATTCTGTGAGAAGGTAAAGGAAAAAGGATCAAAACAGGGAAAAAAGCATAAGGGTCTAGGGTGATGGTTCATGGGTGAAATAGTGGGATAGGAATTTTACAGGGAATACACAATGATGTAAAAAATATAAATTAAAAATTAATTAATAATGGAGAAAAAATCTAAAACCCCCCTTTGATCCTCTGGTACCTCCAAAATTTCCATCTACTTCAAAACTATTATTTTTGTGGACTAATAGGTCCCAAATATTATGTAATTATTATATTACGTACTGAAATCTAGTATTACCAGATACTGGAATTACTAATTACTGGAATCTACTTTCACTTTAGAGCAGGTTAAAAACAGAAGGTACCTTGAAGTTAAAGAGCTGACTTCTAACTTCTGGGTTACATTCACAAGCATTTTATTCTGAATAAATTAAATTTTTATGACAAATGAAAGGAAAAGAAGTAAGTGAATGTCATTTGGTTGTTGGAAAATATTTGAAGTGCACAACTTACAGCAGTAATCAGAGGTTCTCCACTGAACACAGATGTCAAATTCGCTGCACAGAGCCACGTACGCAGAAAGAGCGTCACATTCATAGTTCCAGAAATAGGTATAATTGATCCACATTTTTTCACAAAAGTCCTGTGGGGAAACCTAAAGATACATTTTTCCCTTAGGATGAGTCATCATGTCTTATTTCTTTGAATAAGACATTAACATTTGGAGATTCAAAAGGCAGCAAAAGTTAACATTCATATGGTTGCTCTTCCACCATAGATTTCATTTAAATTTTTATTGGAAGTGACATTTGTTTATAGCACTCAATAGGCTTCAGGTATACAACCTTAAAATCAATATCTGTATATTTTACATTATGTTCAAAACCAAAATTTTAGCTTCCACCCTTCATTACACAATTGACCCCTTTTTATCTGGTTCACCTGCCCTTCCCCCTCCTCTTCAGTCAACTACTATTTCGTTTTCATATTCTGTGTTTTGTTTGGTCATTTTTGCTTCAAGCACAACTTTCAAAACTTCATAATATATATCACACCTTAAGTTATAATATTTTAAGACACTCGACTTCTGAAAAACTCTATATGCCTATTTTATAAAGATGGAAAAGAAACAGAATAGTGGGCCTAGCAAAGATCTACTTTGATATTACACTTCAGATTACAACTGTCTGTGTAGTGAACAAATGTAATCTAGTAAAGATGAAACTAAAAGCTCCTGAAGCATTCCATAATGATAAATGTCATGAATGTTTATAAATTATAACCTCACTTATATATGTTTATGTTTCTCAAAATATGTATATTATTATTGAACATTGATTGAATAATTTAAGTAAGTTAACATGCCTCGATTTACACTCATTTTTTCCTACAGAATGTTGTATTTTGACCTAGAGATGTCAGAAATAGAGATAATTTAACTTATAATAACATTTACTTCAATTTTTCTCACCATTAATTCATTCTGTCTATTAAATTCATGTATAGGTTAAGTGCCACATATAAATGCTTAATAGTTTTCACATCCCATCAATTCCTCATCAAGGTCCATATCCATAAAAATCAAGAGTCTACTTCAAAGTCTTTTCCAGTCCTTTGTTGTATCTATTCAATTTCTGGCCACTCATGACGTAGGGAATGTTTACTATGGTTATCAGCGCTTCCTACTTGCCAAATCCAGGAAACATCAATATTCTAATCACTCCAGGAACAAGGAGCCATGAACACTCTCTGTCTCTTGAAACAGTCCCTCCTTTGACACTGAAGACACCACAAACTAATTCTTCCACCTGATTGCTGTTGTGTCCTTTTTCTGCCTCTGTAAGTGTTTCTCTGCATCCCAACCTCAACGGTAGGCCCACCACAAATCTTCTGGGCTCACCCATCACCTCCTTGAGCATTTACATATTTGCCTTTGTCTCTTCATAAGTTAGAGTCAACAATAAACCAATAAACCTAAGTAATAAACTATTACTTAAAACTGTTGTGAGCTAATATATGGAAAGTGTGAGGATTAGTTTCAGGTACAATATATATTGCTATTTAAAAAAAAATCCATTATACTAATAACTCTCCAAAGCTTGATGTCTGGCCTTAATTTATCCTCTGTGAACCTTAGGACAGTGTTTCTTCTAAGTTTTTGTTTTTTTGTTTTTTTTTGACTTGATATTTGTATTTTGAAGCCCTATATTGTTAATTCATCCAAAGTAAAAAATTACACACCGGCACTCTCCCACATGGCACAATGGGTTAAAGCACCATATTATGATGCTCTATGAATCCATAGGGAGCTGACATGGCTCGGCTGACCTCTTCTGACCTGCCCGCTGCTCCCCTCAGCAGTTTATCAGTTTGCCTGTTCTGCACTACGCTCTGTCTCTAGTGAATCCTCTCACTCACCACACCATACCCTAGTTCTGTAAGCATAAATAAATAAATCTTTAAAAAAAAAATTGCACACCTTCTCCACTTAGCCTACTAAAGCTGAGTCTCCAATATCCTTCATCCTTCACTTTAATGAGCACCCACCTACTTAGGCACCAGGCTATTCTCCAGGAATAGAAAGCTGAATAAAACAGACCTGTTCTTCACCTAAAGGATCACATTTCGAAAAGGCTTTGAGTAGTATCAGGAAGAACAGGAAGTGTACTAGCTGGGGCAACTGGCAGGTTAAAAAGAGACAGTTATGTGGAATTTAGCAAATGAACAGAAAGTAGAAAGCCAGGAAACTGGACACATAAGCAAAGGGCTGTGTAAGCTCAGATAAGAAGCTTGGATTTAACTTTAAACATTAAGTTTAAAGACACTGAAAGATTTTAGGCAGAGAAATGAACCATTCTGTCTCCATTTTTGAAAAGATTATCAGATTGCTATGCAAAGACTGGCGGAGAGGATGGAAATCAGAAATGGGAACCCAAATTAGAAGCATTCCTTTCTTTGACACGACATCGCATGGCAGAGCCTACGGGAAGGACGAGCCCACCACAGACACATGGGAGCTGGTGCCACCACACTCTGCCTTGACCACTTAAGCTCTACTTTCCTGATTTAGTTAAAGCTGCCATTTTAAAAGATCATTATCCGATAAAAAAGGATAAAATGACACGCAAATACTTGTTTGTTTTTTATATTTTGTGTACCTGCATTTTACAATGTGAACACTTAAAATTGATTTGTATCCATAACTTCAACATATCTGAAGGTCCAGAAAGATAGGTCATTTGTAACCCATAAGTCTCTACCCTTTGCATTTCCCTCAGGAGACTCAGAGGCTGAGAACTAAGGAGTCTGCACTCTCCAACTTGAGTGGGAGGTGCTTCTGCGTTACAAATTCCCTTACATTCCTTCAAGGACTCTTTCCTTCCATTTCTCTGGCACTAAACTAATTCAGTGTTTTCCTAATCCAGCCTTTTACAATGAATTTGTTCTTGGATATATTGTTTTCTCTTCCTAAGGCTCCTTTTCTCACTCTTCTCTCCTGGCAAACTGATCCTTCTAAAAGAACGCAAAGCCTAAAACTCTGGCAGTCTTCTTCACTAGACATTAGAGGTCCAGAAGAGGGACCTTTACACATCTTTCTATAACAGGAACACACCGTGGTGCCTACTAGATGTGCAGAACTTTTCATTAAATGAGTCAAGAAATGCTGCATTTGCCTGCCTTATGTCACTAACAATAGATTTTTTATAATGATACACATTATTTAAAGTCTCTACTCATCAGTTAAAATCTGAGCATTAGAGATTTATATACAATGATTAAGTTGAATATGTTACTGATTCTGTTACAAGTGTACACCTAAGAGGCCAGGGCTATAGGGAATGGATAAAATCCTCACCTTCTCTGGTGGCGCAATGGATTAGTGCCATAGCCACTTCAGTACAAGTTCGATTCCCACCCCAGAGGTGAGCCACATGGCACAGCAGACCTCTCCTGACCCACCCGCTGCTCCCCTCAGCAGTGTACTTCATTGATCTGCCTGTGCTGCTCCCCACTCTGTCCCTGGGGAAGCCTCTCACTGCACCTGTGCCTCTGGCTTGTACCCCTGTTCTGTTTACATAAATAAATAAATCTTTTTTTAAAATCTTCACTATCTTGGTTTCCATACTCAGTTATCAAGCTATATTGATCTCTTTCTCCTACAGGCATTTATTCATAAGAGGGAATCTCATTTTTCTTGAACGCTATAGATACAGTTCTGAAAACAACATAAGGAAGAGAAGAAAAGATAATTATCCTTCCTGTCTCTGTAAGTCTATAAACAGTAAATGATTCTGACTTCTAAAACATACTCACAGAAGGTTTGGGAATAAACAATTCTCACTAGAAAGGCATCATGGCAGGAACGGAAATTTATTGGCTTTTACTCTCCACATGTCTAATGTGTCAGTTATTGTTTATGGTTACTTTCAACTTACTTTATTATGGCATGGGATGAAAACACTTCGATTTAATAACTCAATGCAGGGAGCACAATCATGCTCAGTGCAATTCCTGACAGGTCTTCTCGTTGATACTTCAAATGATTTCTCAATTTCCCAGCTCTCAATAAATAATTCTATGTCTTCCATATTTGTGATTATTGTGCCATTCTGCATCCTTAGGTCATCATCTGGGTCTTCATTACAAATTCCTAGAAAAATATGTGACATTGAGAAGGAAATAACTTCACTTAAACTAAATATAGGCAATATAAATGTCACCTTAACAACTGATTTTAAATGGATGAATAATTTACTGAATGAGGTGCCAGATTTGCACCTTTTAAACAGTGATGGATTTTTTTAAATTGCATACTAATTATTTGATTAAAATAATACCAATCTGTCTTATTCAGGCAAGAAAGAAACCATGATCTTAGAAGTCAAGATGTGACGAGATCACAGAAAATGAAGAAAGAGGAAACTGATTCTGCATAACTCCATATACTACCACCTTCTAAGTAAAGAACTAGCTCTTGACTGGGAATGTAGACATTTGGTGACTACCTTCTATATAGCCATTCCCCTAGAAAAATCTACCTGAAAACATTATATATACATATATTTTGCCTTTCAGAAACTGCCCTGCACATCACCTGATACATGACACAGCTCTCAGAGGCAGAGTCCTGACTGGCATGACTGTAGGCCCCTGCATTAATAACAATTACAAGTAACCCAGGCATGTTTCAGTCAGCTGTGGGGGTCATCTAGACACATGGATCTATCCTATATTAGGATAACCGTTGCTAACCACAGGAATTGAACTGGGAATTTGAGATCACAGACAACTTTCCTTCCTTGGGACAACATGGGCGATAGGTGGCGCAGTGGGCTAAAACTCAGCACTGCAAGCAAGTCACTGCCACCTCAGTCAGTGCACGTTCGATCCCCACCCCAGAGATGATCCACAGTGCCGTGGCAGACCTCTCCTGACCTGCTGCTGTCCTCAGCAATGTACTTTGTCAGTTGACCTGTTCTGCTCCACTCTATTCTGGTGAATCCTCTTACCATCCCTGAACCTATGGTCTGTACCCCAGTTCTGTATGAATAAATAAATAAATCGTTTAAAAAAATGGCTGATGTCTCTGATGTTTTGACCTTCTCTAGCACTCAGCTTATCTTCAAAATGGCCAAAGTGAAAATGGAGAGCCTATTTTCATACAGTGAATTCCAGAGCCAAGAGAAGTACACCTTCCCTCAACCCCACCTACCCTCAATACATAATTTCTCTAAATTCTTCAGGCTCCTGATGTAAAGTATGTTCACTGAACTTTTTGTCATATATCAAATCTTCATTCTTGAGCAGATCCCTTAAGATCAATAAAGGCTGCTGCTGCCATAGTTGCCTTATCATTATAAAATGCACAGGGGACTGAGTGCAAGGCAAAAAATAAAGTTCAAGTTAAGTGAACCATACTGTAAAGCAGCTACTGTTTAAGCCTAAACACTTCTGGAGGAAAGCAACTGCTAGTAAAATTTATTTGTATTACAATGCCAGCCACCACCCCATCTGCAGGCTTCAGAGTACTGTGAAGAAAAGGGGGTGATGCTGACCTCCCCATCCAGTCTGTGTGCTCACTCATACTGGCCACATTCTTGCTTGCTGCTTTTATCCAACACCTAGTCTAGCAGCCCTCACAGCATGGGGTTCTTCACAAAGCATTGTTCTCCCACTGGGGGTGGGGGTGGAATTTAAGGGGTAATCACTGGGGAGCAGAAAAATCATCCAGTTCCTTCTTTACAGTGACTAAGCATCTATAGTTAAGAATCCAATTAGCAGAGTGTCTGTCTCCATAAAGTACATATGGACATTAAAGGAAGAAAAAACAAAACATGAAAATCTAGCAGAAATCATAGCACCCAGGTGATAAATCAAAGGAGAAAATATGCATTCTAAAATCCTATGAGGGCCTCTCTCTGGTGGCACAAGGGGTTAAACCACAGCACTGTGAAGCTCTCCATAGCCACTGCACCCACCAGTTACAGACCCAGCCAAGGAGGTGACCAATGTGGCAGACCTCTCCTGACATACCCACTGCTCCCCTCAGCAGTTATTTCAGTCAGTCTGCCTGTTCTGCTCCCCACTGTCTCTGGTGAATCCTCTCACCCCCTGAAACTCTGACCTGTACCACAGTTCTTGTATGCAGAAATAAATAAATCTTAAAAAAAAAAAAAACAAGTTATTTACTCCTTTAAACTTTTTATATCTCTTTTTTGTCACAAACATTAACAGCAATACCTACTTAATAGGGCCACTGTTAGAATTAAAGGAGTTACAGTTTACGTACTGTGCCTGACACCTCATTAATGCTTCATAAAGATGAACTAAAAGAAACATAACACAGGATTACAGAAATAGTGGCAAGCCTATATTTCTACAAAATACTCAAATTGAGCTGTAATTTCATGCTTCTTAGCTCATTTACTGAAAACGATGGCTTCTTTAAACATTCAGATAGGTAACTGAAATTAACATCATATCTCAAAGCCATACAGTGGGGTAACAGGAGTCAAAACAGTATAAAGTGAATAAGAAGAAAAAAGAAAAGAAGAAGCAAAAAATATTGGAGAAAAATGCTCACCACAAAGTCCTTCTGTGTAAGATGACAAATTAAATTGAGAGCCAAAATGAATGTCTATGATTCCTGTAAGATGAGCCCACTTTATGATTAGTCCAGCTGGCGTGGTAATTACGTACATCGTACCAGAATCCTCAATAAACAGGTCTTGATTTGAAAAGGGTAAAGGTACAACGACAGAATCTACTTCCACCTAAAAGAACATAATGCATTTATACGTTAGAAAAGTTTAATATTAAATACATGCTCTTTAAAATTAGAATTCAGATCATTACATTTCTTCTGATTTAATATAAAGTATTTATCTGTGCTGTGACTATTTTTCATAATTTCTAAGCTTTTACTAGTTCACTGTGTGTCTTGCTACATTTTTTTGTTTTAACTCCACTGCTTTTTACTTTCTTCAAAACTTAACTTTTTCTATTATGTATAGTTTTCTGTCTGTTTCTTTTAATATTTGCTGATCAGACCAGTACCTTCTAATATAAATCTAAGATAATAAAGTTATTTCAGAATGCTTTCTTTAATCTGGAACCTTCTCTGTATAGATCAGTTTGTAAATATAATGGTCTTATCAATGATGTGTCAAACCAGGTAAAGATTCCCAGATAGGCCCTCCCTGGTGGCGCAGCGGGCTAAAGCACAGCACTGAGAAGCTAAAGCCACTTCCTCATGAGTTCGATTCCCGCCTGCCCCAGAGGTGACCACATGGCTTGGCAGACCTCTCCTGACCCGCCCACTGCCCCCCTCAGCAGTGTACTTCGTCAATCTGCCTGTTCTGCTCCCCACTCTGTCTCTGGTGAAGCCTCTCACCGCCCCTGAGCCTCTGGCCTGTACCCCAGTTCTGTATACGCAAATAAATAAATCTTCAAAAAAAATTAAAAAAAAAAAAGATTCCCAGATAGTCAACTTCCTATGTTTGAATGGGATTCCAGACTGTATTTTCAGCATTGAATTCTTGATAAGACAAATATAGGCAGTCCAAGGGTTATATTATAATAGTTATTTAAATAATGACAATGACATGGAAATATCAGCAATAACCAGCAGTAAATTTGTAGAAGTTATTCCTGTCTAACTATCAATTTCTCATCCTTTTGTCTTTCTTATACTACCACAAAAACGCTGAAACATCCTGCTTGCCCGGTTAATTTCTCTTCATTCTTTAAGCTTTATCTTTACTGTCATTTCATCCAAAAATATCTATTAACCCTTCCGCATTCAGTGACTTTTCTGTTTCCATTAAAGGTTGGTCATAACTATTACAGGACATCTTCTGCTTTCTGGTCAGCAGATCATTACATCTGTACTCCCCAAACAACTATACATTACTTGAGATCAGAGTCTGTGTCATTTTGTTATTTAAAGCCTCACTAAATGATATTTCAGATAATTACTTTTGAACTGATTAGGAATATATGACAAGGCCTGAGTTCAATTTGAGACAAAAATAAACCTTTTGCCCAAATGCTCCCATTTATAGCACTGAGAGGTGTGTGTCTAAATCAGTTTCCCAGCTGCTCCCCATCAATATTTTAACTTCATTAAAATCAAAGGTCAATGCAAACGCTATCATCTAAAAAAGTCCCTCATTCATCTTACTAACATATATTTTTAACTTTTACTTAAAATTAAACTTTCTAACACCTAACTATATTTAAGGATCTTTTTAATATTGCTTCCAATTTAGAATCCATTTTTCAATGTCAATGTAATTTCTTTCAGAAGAACATGTCAGTCATTTAGAGAAAATGTTTTACACATAATTTTCTTTTGTTTTTCAAAAAATCATTTAGATCTGAGTGAAACATTGAGCTTGTATAACTCACTCCTCACTAGTAAGTGTATGTTTTTTCTTCTAAAAGTCAAATGGCCTTTCCATATTTTAAAATGTATTTAATACTTTATAATACATTGCTTTTCTTCAGTGTTTTCAATAAACTTAAATATCCCTTGTTATTTTTCTAATTCTAGGTATTACTTATCGACCAAAAGTTAATAGGATCGCAATTACTCCTTCCTTAGTTCCTCTCTCATCAATCTTTACTCTGCTATCTGGAGTTCCTATCTATGCTACTATCCACACTATTATGCTTCCTCTTTTGCTCATTATTTCCACTTTGTCTACTCTAAAACACTAATGTTAACCCTACACTAAGAAATTTGGCCACTGATATTATCCAGGGAAGCTTTAGCATATTTAATATGAAGTATTTGCAAGAACTATTGAAAATACAAGAAATATAAGACACTAATTTTTGAACTATTCATGAAAAGAATTACTAGACATCACAACAATAAAACTCCACTGATAAGTTTAACCTCTTTTTGGAAATAATTACATTTGTATCATTTCTTACTTTCATCTAACATAAGAATATTTTTAGACTCTGTGTTCTTACCTTTCTTGCTAAGCGATTGACAATTATTTTATGTATAGATGTTGTCAAATTTAACTTCTTAAAACAAAGTCCAGAGATTCGTCCAGGAGAAGCCTTGATTTAAAAGTAAAAATTCTATGAAGTTAACATAATTTTAACAATAACCAGAAGGAATTTATTAAATGTACTGCAAATACTTACTAGCTTCTTAAATGGGTTTCCATTCTGTAAAAAAAAAAAAAAAAAGTATCAACAAAAAATAAAAACCTTTAAATAATGTATCACTTGACTTTTGTAAAATACTATTTGAATGAATATGACATGCCTCCAAATAATTTCACATGAAAAATTTTTGGTTTAAGTATCAAAAGATTAATCTCAGTTTGTTCTTTAAAAATGTTATTTTGAGAATACCTAATGTTGCAAAAAAAATGAACTACAGATTATGAAGAAATAGCAAAAGAATGGAATATGGCCTACCTGATTCATTAAACATCTTTCAATATGAGCCACTATAACTTCCCCAGGAATTCTTACTAAGATATAAGAAGCCATACTATATAATGCTGCATTGTTGCCATCAAACGTAATGATGCTCAGCTCGGACAACATGGAACACCGGCCTAAAATGAGTGGTGGAGAATGGATGTAGTTTATTAGTGAATGAATGGTATTTGCAGCGATAACTACTTTTTCAAAATTCAAAACTCATTGCTTTTTTTTTTTTTTTACTTTTTAATTAAGATAACAATGGTTTACTGCACTATATGAGGTACAAGGGTATAGGGTCAATGCATTTCACCTCACCACCATCACCAAGTATCACTGGTCAAAACCACACCGAGATACCACCTCATACCGGTGAGAACAACCCAGTAAAAACAAAACACAGAAACAATAAATGTTGGTAAGGATGTGGAGAAAATGCTTTTTTTTTCACCATTTAAAAAAAATTTATATAAAATTTTTTATATAATTCTGCATTTTGTACATTTTTTTAAAAGATTTATTTTATTATTTATTCATACAGAACTGGGGTACAGGCCAGAGATGCGGAGGGTGAGAGGATTCACCAGGGACAGAGTGGGGAGCAGAACAGGCAGATCAACGAAGTACAGTGCTGAGGGGAGCAGCGGGCGGGTCAGGAGAGGTCTGCCACGCCATGTGGTCACCTCCGGGCAAGCCGGAAACCAAACCAAGAAGAAAGAGCCTTTAGCTTCTCAGTGCGGTGCTTTAACCCGCTGCGCCACCAGGGAGGGCCCCATTTTGTACATTTTTTAACATCAGTTGTAATCCCTGTGGACTTCCCACCACCTCTTCACCATGTGCCATCACCATAGTCCCATGTGCTCTTCCCACCCCAATTTTGATCATGTTCTCCTCTCCTCCCCAGTAGAATCTCTCTGGTTTCACTCAAGGTAGGATTGTAAGGGAGCAGAAAAAATAAATAAATAAAAATAAATATGTATATGTGTGTATATATATATATATACACACACACATACACACACACACACACACACATATATATACACACACATACAAACACACACATATAGTAACTGTAATGAAGTAAAAAAGATGCTGCTCTCTTAAAAATACTTTTACAGGCCCTCCCTGGTGGCACAACAGGTTAGGATGCAGCACTGCAAGCGAGCTGCAGCCGCTTCAGTCTGAGTTCGATTCCCTGAACCGGAGGTGATCTACATGTCCCACAGACTTCTCCTTAACCGCTTGCCGCTCCCCTAAGCAGTATACTTCGACAGTCTGCCTCACTCTGTCTCTGGTGAAGCTTCTCACCACCCCTGCAGCTCTGGCTTGTACCCCAATTTTGTGTGAATAAATAAATCTTAAAAAAAAATTACTTCTACATTAGTCTTACTATGTTTGATAAGAAATGACTCTAAAAACAGAAATCATAAGTCAAATGGAAAAAAATTCAACAGTAACTTTACTTTAATGAGATGGCAATTGAAAAAAAAAACATAACTTTCCTTGAATAAAAATGGATTGTCATGTAAGAAATGCAAACTTACAAGGACATTCCCATTCAGGGCAACAGATATCACTGTTCACCTGAACAGGCCTTCCACGGAAACCACAGTCAGGCATTTCCAAATCCCTTGGGCAATTAAGAGACCAGTTGAATAATGTCCATTCCATGTTAAGGCATATGTATTGACTACAATTGTAAACAGGATCAAACTGTGGAGGCTGTTAATAAAAATAAAGTTAGGGTTTTTTTTTTTTCCAATTTTCCATCCATTTTCAATATTTGTTTAAATTTCCCAATCACATTACCCATGGCATTTATTTCTCAAATCTAAATATTTTTAAGCATAACTAAATTTTCACTAAAACTTTTTGTTGCTGTAGCCTCTCCAGTATAGTCAATATGAACTTCATTTAAGCTTTACCTTAACGATGGTTTGATAGCAGAGTGGCCCAAACAAATTTGCTCAAAATTCTGAGCAAATGTAAGCCTTACACTAATTGTCTAGATCATGCTTATAAGCTGACTTGTAAAGTGAAATCAATTTTTTTATGTCATAGAGCTAGCAGATGTTTACTTCTGTTACTATCATTTAAAAAATAAAACTTAATACCATTCAAATAATTCATTAAAAAAAATCATGTGAGATTGGTTTGACAGAACCTATGTAGAATCACTAGAAATTAATTTTATATCTAGCTCACAATATGGCATTTAGTAGCTTCCTGGTAAATTTTTTTTAATGTTTGACTTACATAGAATCCTACATTAAAATCCTGTATTTAAGAAACAAACTTAACACCTCATTTAATTTTGCTTGTTTTTCTTACTGTGACCACAATCTAAATAATAGGAGGGGAAAAATGGGGTCTTCCAACATCCAACTAATTCTCTGCATCCTTTGCTATTCATCCATTAAATTGCCCTCTCTCTCCTAATTAGGTTGTAACTCAGTGTGGTAAACTGGATTCCCCTTGGATTTAAACAGAACTTTATAATTTTCAAATACAATTATAGCCATCTCAAAAATAAAAAAAGAAATGCCTGAATCAGTTAAGAAAATACAATCACTAAAGTGCAAAGCATATAGTTATCTTTTAGCAAAAATAAACTATAGAATATAGCAAAAAGAAGTTTTATAATACATCATAGCCATGCAGAAACTGAACAGCCATTATAAGGATTTGAGCACTAATTGGAACATATTACCAGCCATACCTCACATTCCAAACCTGTTGTCGGGGTTGGAGTTAGCATGTCAAATACAGTGACCTCTGATGGTGTAATAATCACTTCTGGAGCTGTTAAAAATTAAGATGTCCTCTCCATTAGTAGGATGGTGTCTACCAGGTATGTAATTCATAAGCAGGGGGAAAATTGGCCTACATATTTTATAGAGGTTATTTCATTGACTCCCCATCACAGCCCTCGTAAATAAATAATACTATTGCCATTTTACAAACAAAGAAGCTAAGGTGTAAAGAAGGGAACAGTAAGTAAGTATCAGAGACAGAATTCAAACTCAATAATTCTGATTCCAAGTCCTGGCTTTTAGTTACCACAGTGCACATATATTCACTGTCTTACTGCTATCATAATTATTCTTAAATAGGAAAAAAAAATTAAAGGTATCACAAAAGGTAGTTCAGGAGTGACAAATGTTGACGTGGTAAGGCTGATTTATACAAGAAGTAAGGCTGATTTTAGATATAAGGATAGCTTTCTTGCACATGAGGGTTATAGTGTGCAACTCATTTACCTATGTATTGGTTGTGATGGTTTTATATGTTTGAAATACATATTAAATACTGGTTTGGGTATTAAAGAATTCAAAGAGATAGATTACAATGTAGAAGAAACAACAGACTAAATCCTGGATGTTAGGATGTGCAATGTTAATCACAGCCTATTGACCCCATAGATTAAATGGTATAGGGAAAGCGACTCTTGACCCGCCCAAGATTTTTTTAAACTACATCATTTCACCGATGCCTAAACTTTCATAGCATTAGATAAATTCTTTATCTTTACCAGAGTAAAAACAAGACCTCTCTCAGAGAGTGTTTTTGAGGATTAAATGTATGCATATCCTTTAGTCCAATACTTTATGCATAGTTAGTACATAATAAATGGTAACTTATAAGAATGGTGGTAATAGCGATGGGTGTAGTGAGGCTATTATTTTGAAAATGTCATAGGTCTACTAAAAACTTTGTGATTCACTCGTGCCTTCAAGGAAAAGTCCAGATTTTTTCCATGGACCCTTTGTGATGTGGCCCCTAATGACCTCTCTCACATCTCAGGGCAGCTAGTGCAGTTCCCCTCATGTTACACACATAGGACTCAATGAGCTCCCTGAAGTCTCCGTGTGACATGTTTTCTCTCTGCTACAGGCCTTTGCTCATGTTTCCTCTTCTAGTTGAAGCACACTTCCTCGTCTTCAGTGACAAACCGCCAAAATAAGTACAAGACCGCCCTCCACACCTGCTTACTGTTTATTCCCACCCTTGTTGCAAGATCACTTTAAGGTATGCACCATGAGCTGTTTCAGGGTGGGAGTTATGACTTGGTCCCCTCAGTGCCAAGACAGTGCCTGGCTGTGTTGATACTCACTTGAAGCTTGACAAATAAGTTAAATGATTATCTATCTGAACTTTTATCAATTATAATCCCAGGAGAAGTAGTACATTAAATGTGACAAGCTTCACTGTGTGGATGTAGTAAATGGTTTTCTAAGCCAGGTTTCACAGCATGAGAGAAGAGTGTGGTCCACCTGCTGTTGGGACTGCGCTGGAACCAAGTCTCCTCAACAGAGACTTCATTTGCATGAACATCTCTTAAGAGTCAACCTATCATTGTGAAAGTTGAAGCAAAATTTAATAAAACCTAAACTCGAGGCAAAAGTGTAAAGGAAGTCCTCATCTATACTCACAGAAATGGACACAGAGGCACACTACAAGCCCAAGCCTTGCAGAAGGGTGGCATGCTGAGCCAGGAACTTGCGACTTAATGAAACAAAGAGCTCCCTGGGAGTTCTAATCTTTGGGATAGTAGTTGTTTTAAGAGCTGCCAAGATTTCAATTACATATGCTAATTTTCGTATCTCACATGAACATGACCAGAGATTGCTTACCTGGTGGAATTAATGCAGGTTCTGTGGGAAGCAGAGGCACGCCTGCAAAGAAACAAAGGTGCTCTTCCTTAATCTGTTTTGCAGAAAGGGAGACTCACATATTTCATATCATGATTTTCAGCTTCAAAGAAATGTTTGGGGAGAGAGAACGGAGGGGTAATGTTGAGGGAAGATTTATGTGGTTTAGAAAGTAGTTCGGAACAAAAAAACTAATGAAGGGATATTGAAGAAAAGTCAATTGAAAACTTACCTACCATAGACTTGAAAGATTCAGGAAGGGAGGGATAAGGTAGAGTAAAGTGGGACGGAGGCAGGGGTAAAAATGAGGAGCAAAGTAAGATGTACTATTGTGGAAGATTATGGGTGCTCTGATGGTGGGGGAGGTATGGTGACAATAAAAAATTGTCTAGCTAAAACTTTTCTTTGCAACCATTTGCTATCATAGAGGGGAAATAGAAATGTTTCACTTCTCAGAGTAAATTAAGTAAGATTCACACTTACAGTCTCCCGGATAAACACATTTGAGGGTGACCTCATCCAGGATCATATTTTTAGGACAATAGGGCAAGCATCCTTCAACCCTTTACATAAGAAGAAAATCAAAGTTAAAATTATATTTATATTGAAAGTATAAAGATTATACTGTATTTAATTTATGTGACTAGGTTATATTATTCCTAAAATTCTTCTGTTCTCCTTGTGAAATAAAACAGAAGAGCCATTCGCTAACACCCAGCCATACCTCATTATACAAGCTAGCATATAATAAAGAGATCTCATCATGATTCGTATTCTGAACACAGAGTACTCAAAACATACAATTATGTGTAAGACATACAAGACCAAGTTCTGTATAAATCAGTAGAAATGCAGAAGAATCTTTATTGTGATGTTAATCAATATTTATTGTATTTCTAACTTTCCACTCCTATACTCCTTGGACTCAAGCATGCTCTTTGAAAATTCATACTTTAAAGATGTTTCTATGACAAAATTAGAATCTTTGGTATTGCCACTACTATTGAATCTTAAAACCCACTAGAAAATTCCTAGAAATCTTGGAGTTGCTCTTCTGTGACAAAAGGAGGGTTTAGGGCAAATGCTACAATTCTAAGAGCTCCATGTACAATGCTTTGGGAGTCTGTGAGTCTACAGAGACTGGATGTCGACACACAAGATGTATGACTTTCTATGCATGGCACAAAAGCAAAGCAAGGGTCCCAGAATTCAGGAAGCCATGCACTTGAGCATTGTGGACAAAGACAGGAGTGACCATGCAGAATATTTTTCTTCGAAGAGAATGACGTCAAAATAATGACCTAGGTGAGGTTGCACATTCCTTCTATTCCATTTGGGGCTCAGAGTTCACTTAATTCTGATGGAATGAAAATAAATATAATCCTTCATGTGCAGCTAGGTTTAATTAGGTTCATACATAATAGCAAAAACTAATGCTATTATTGTTACAAAGGGTTTATTTATCTGTCTCTTAAATACATTAGGAAGATTAAATAATATTTTTAATTTTAAAGAATTTCTAATTATTTCATCTATAAAGTACAAATTAAACCAGAAATACATGAGGTCTCATTTAATTCCTGATGTAAATGAACTTAACACTGAAGTATTGCCATCAGCAAGCACTTATTCAAAGAGAAACTAAATAATATTCCTTAAAGAACAAGAAAAGCTAACTTTTCCTTTACCATAACATAAACCGTTTAGTATAAAATTATTTATTTTACTTAAAAATTTGAATAACTAAACTTTAATCAGTATACGATAAATGTATTCCACGCTAAGCTTTGCAGGCATCAGTCACTGAGTTTGAGTCACTTGGCTCCTGTTGGGAGCCAAGAGGAGGAAATGATATTTCTGTTCACTTTCTTAAAAGGGAAAAAGTCTTTGGCATTCATCATTAGACCTCCACACAAACACTCTGATAAACTATTTCCCAACTCTTTGTATAGCCATAATAAGGAAGGGAAGCAACAGGGCCCCCATAGTGTGTAAAGTGGTCCCAGTTTTAAGGAAAACAATATGAAGTTTCTGTAAAAAAAAGGAATATAGGTCTATCATATGATATCGTATTTCTACTCCTAAATATATCTCTGGAAGAAAACAAAAACTGTATGACAAAAAGATACACGCACCCCTATGTTCATTGTAGCATTATTTACAATAGCCTACAATAGCCACGATATGGAAATCTAAATGCCAGTTTGCTGGATGGACGGATGATTGGATAGAGAAGAAATATGCATGTGTAATGAAATACACTGTTAAAAAAAACTATAAAATACTATAAGTCGTGAATTCTATAAAAAAAATACTATAAAAAAAGAAAGTAAAATGTTGCCATTTGCAACAGGGATGAAACTAAAAGGGTAATTATAAGCACAATAAGTAAGAAAGAGAAAGAAGTACTAGATGATCTCACTCATATGTGAAATATAAAGAGAGCAAAGGAATTGATAAAATCAAGCCAAAACAAACTTTTATATTTTGACATTTGTCAAAGGATGGAGGGTGGGGTGGAGGGCTGCAGGAAGAGCAATAGCTAGAGGTGACCCATGGGCTATAATGGAAAGTGCTGGAACTTTGGTTAAGTGGTAGTATACATTTGAAAAGGTGTGAGCTTGTACTCTTAAAACACATACTGTGCTATCAACTGAAGTTATTCCATTAAAAAACAAAGTTAAAAAAAAAACATATAATCCAGAATCTGTTCACCTCTCTCTTCATGGTCACTGTCTAACCACTGCCCCTCATGTCTTGTCTGTATTTCTGCCCACCTTTGTCCTTCGCATATCCAACAGTCCATACTCAGTATATCAGCCAAAGGAAACTTGAAGACATAAGTCAGATTTTGCCACTTCTCTGCCCAAAATATAGTATGGCTTTACTCAAGAAGAAAAGACCTTTCAGTGAGGTAAAAGGCCTTATATAAATTGTCCACCACTATGCTTATCTGACTTCATTTTTCACTTTGCTCCAATTCACTGAACTCCTTGCTCATGTTCAAACATGCCTACTGAATTCCTACCCCAGGACTTTTGAACTGCCCTCAGATTAAACAGGGACATTGCCAGTTCCCTCACTTCCTTCAGATCCCTGACTAGATATCATCTGGTTAGTTTGTTCTTCCCTGGCCACTCCATGGTAATTTGCAAACACACACAAATATCTTAGGCTCCCTAACTTCCTTACCTTCTTTTTTTTTCCCAAAATACATTTCACAATATATTGTATTTATATTTACATTTGTATTTCCTTTTAGAATCCAACAAGATAAAATGTTCTCAAGAGCCAAATACTTTCTCTATTTTGTTTAGTACTGTATCTCCAGGAGCTGGAAGAATTCCTGGCACATAGCAGACCCTTAATCACAACGGCTTGAACATAAGGAAACAAATTCATAAATAAGTAAATAGCACATACAAATTATTCTTGACAGTGTTTTTAATCTAAAATATTCACTGAGCACAGCATCAGTTAATATGGGAATTTGCTCATTTAATGGTTAAAAGGACTTACGGTGGAAGAAATTTACATGCTAGTGCTTCAGGGTCACTACAGGTTTTGAAGCAGGGAGTGGCACAAGGTTCATATCTCCATTCACACATCCTCCTGTACGGAACTGCTGCTTGAATTTCTAGGGAAAACAAAATTTAGACTGCGTATATTTTCAAAGTACAATTTGAAAATGATTTATGATAAATAACTTTCTAGTATTTGAACACTTTTTGATCATAATGCTGTGGAAAAGACAAGGCTGGTAGATAGAAGCATTGTAATTGCTTGATCATCAAAGCATTTCATGCTCAGTTTCAATATCTAAAATATTAGTTTGGCTTCCAAAGATTTTGAAAAGCAAGTTGTTAGAGAAAACCAAGAAGAGTTCAAAATTATTTTCTCCTATTGTATGATTACTGAGCTCTCATTGATCTAAATACCATAATAGCAACAAACACTTGCTTGGAATTTTATTTTTGCAAGTAATTTTATGTTCATTATTCTATTTTAACCTTACAACTTCTGATTTGGTATTAGTTTTATTTTACAAATAAAGAAATGGGGCCCTCCCTGGTGGCGCAGTGGGTTAAAACACAGCACTAAGAAGCTAAAGCCACTTCCACATGAGTTCGATGCCAGCCTGCCCCGGAGGTGACCACATGGCGTGGCAGACCTCTCCTGACCCGCCC